ATACTGTACAACTCCAGTGGATTGTCCACTGTTGTTGCACAAACTAGTATCAAATGGGTTATTATTTAAAAAACGTATTTTTATACAGGGTATTTGTAAATAAGTACGAACAATTTTTGCAAATTGTTATCAAAGTTATTTTGTTAAAAAAAGTTCCTATAAAAGTAGGTCGAAATATGCTTCGTTTCCGAGATACAGAATGTTTAAATTTTAATTTATTAAATTTTATTAATTATTTTTAATAGTTTTAAAGATATTTACTCTAAATTTGCAAAAAAACTTTGAAGGGGCAAATGTGTTTTTTTTTGGGGTGTTCCAAATATTTCTACTTGTACCAGTGGCGTTTGTGCGAGAATGCCACTTTTTTAATAAAAAAGTACTGCGCCACTGACTTTTTCGATCTATGTTTTTTTTATAAAATAACTTCGGCAAACATTCCCTAAAATCATTCACACTTACCAACAAACACCCTGTATATAAGAAAATGTAGAAATAGGTACATATGTATATTTAAAAATATATTTCGTAAATAAATAAATTAGTTATAAAAAATTTTTTTCGAAAATGTTACACCAAGTTATACCTTTAAAAAATATTTTAAACGAGAAAACAAAACTGAAATACTCTTTGTTAGACCGGACCTGCAATTTATCGGCATTTTTAATATTTTAAATCATTTATAAGTAATAAATTGAAGGGAGCGTAAGCCTGGGAATAGAGCAACGTTGCCAAAGTGGGTTCAGATGCACTGAAAGTTGTCAGTGTGTTCTAAATCTGAATTTGCTGTTAGGTGTTGCATGGATATCGCTCTTAATTATTTTCAAACTAATTCAAATTTTAAATAATTCATTCATGACTACAGAAATATGTAAAGAAATAGATTGCAGTTAAACTTTCTAAAAAAAAATCATATGACTTGACATATGGCATATACTATCTTGTAGTTAAGTAACAAAATTTCCCAAAATATATTAATTTAAGGTGCTTTTTATTTCATTTTCGTGAAACCTTAAAAGAAGAAATTGTGTAGAGAAAGGATGACCATTATTATTATTTACTGTGGCGCTCAAGATGTTTTATTATTATTATTTACTGTGGCGCTCAAGATGTTTAACTCTTTGGTATATTCTTCAAGAAGAAAAATATACTTCATAATAATTTTATATATATATAAATAAAATTCCTGCGTAAAAATGTTAAATTGCAGCTATTCTATATCTTCCTGTTTCACGCTTATAATTATTAATCTATGTCATTTTACAAATTGCATATTTTTAAAGCCAATTAAACTTGTCCTGATTTGATACACATTCTGAATCTATCTAATAATAATTCATCGTTAGAAACTCTAAATAGAGAGAGGGATTTATTTCCGTTTATTTTAACCATCTCAGTACAACATTCCAATAAAATTGTTGCCGTCTAAAATTGATCTAAAATTGACTGACAGGTACAAATAGACTGTTTCTTTTTTAATCTTTTTAATTCTAATTATATACCTAATTAGCGGATTCTGTAATTAAAATTAAGAATAATGAAACTGTAAAAAAAATGTTTAGAAAACACTATAAGAGCTTTCAATTAATTTGAACAATTTTTACTTTCTTATGTCGCAATTTTTATGTCGTAATATTATAAATTGTTAAGTGATAAAAATAGGTAGGGTTCGATTACAATAAGAAGAATACAGCTACGTCATAATTTGGCAAAGTAATTAATTGGCTATCGCAGCCTACTGGGGGTTTAGTTGGAGTGTTAATAATATAGGAATATATGAAATATTTTTTTATACCTAACAACTAACTTATTCTTTATTTATTGATAGTTATAGATAATATGTATTCGAAATTCGAAGTATGACCTACGGATTCTACATAAAAGGTGACCATAAATATTTGAATCCAAAACCGGACACTTCTGCAATTTCATCATCACTTCCAATAACTAAAATTAGCTGGAAATCAATTATTATAGATGCATTTGGGCAACTTGACGCAAGGTCATTTTTTTAAACGGCAATAAGTTAAAAATTGCAAGAGTCAATCCACTTAAAATATAAAAATAAACTGTTTTGTTCTGATTTTAGCGTATGGCGTTACTCGCAAAAATCAACTTCGTTCTATTTTTAAAGCCATTTGTGCGTACTTAATCCAATCGATATAATTTAATTTCACTTATTTCAAAGAAATTAATATGGAATTATTGTTATTTCATGACAGGAAATGGTTCAACACAAGAATACTTATTTTATTTTTGTGTGATTAATTAATCTTCGTTTACCATATTAGTAATTTTTACTTTGTCAATTGCTGCACAGAAAAGTTGAGTGGTGAACTGCCCATACCATTTTGTCTTAGTTTTTTTCAGCCATTGACCCCTTCTTTTGGCTATTCTATTACAATTAAAGAAAGAACATATTGAATAGCCCGACAAAATTTTTCAAAACTGAAACTTCTATAATGAAAGAAATTTAGGTTGCATGAAGAAGTTATTGCTGCAACATACGAATATTTTGAGGACCTTTACACTGATTATTAGAAAGCAGGTATATTGGGTTCTTTAGCACTGCTGAGAATCATATTGAAAAATTAAAAAACCACTGTAAATGGAAGACTGAAAAGTATTAATAACATTATAACTCCAACGTTATGAAATAAAAATAACCATGACTTTATGTGCTATTAAATTAATACAATATTTATTATTTAAAATGAATACATTTTTGATGTTTATGTTTGACATAAATGAATATAAAATCAACAATTTGTATCAGTTAAAATAAATATTAAAAATATATACATTTGCTGAAAAGTACCTACGAAAGATAGCGATTTTTAACGACCTAAACTAGTATTATAATAGGTATAATTTCTATGTTCTGCCAATAATTATTTTCTTCATCTACAAAACAAATTTATTTTGAAAAATCTATAGTAATTGTTCCATGAAACGAATAACTGTACAGTCTGCGCAACCTAAATGTAAACGCTGTGTTCTTGACATATTTTTTTGTAATGTGACAGATTTATGAGGGAAGATAATAAAAGCAAATGTTTATATTTTTATTTGTTTTATCATTTACTCTAGATTTTTCAAACAATTTACTGTTATGATACTACGCAATTTAAATTGTACTAGAAATTGTATCAAATCTTGTACAAGAAATTGTGTAGTCTAAAGCAGTCTTTAGATGCCGTTTAATGTAAGATTATTGTATTTAATATTTATAATTTAAATAAAACTGAGAATAATTTTAATTATCTTTTAATAATTAAGGTGGTTGTATCTTAATAAAAGGTTTTTGATATGGTTTATTACTAAAGCTATAACTCGTTTACTTATTTTTAGGTGTTTAATTTATCTTTATAAATATTGCTCGAACATTTAGGAACACCCTATATAGAAATTTAAAATTGTATAAAGTTTAATAAAGTTAACTTATTGCGGTCGTAGAAATTTTAAATAATTTTTATACGTTTATCTTATCGACGATATTTTATAGTAAATATCCCAAACATGAACTAATTCTAAAAATTAGATGTGGAAACTGAATTCAAATTTCACAACCACATTTCTGACGCAATTACAACCAGTGGTATTTACCTATTTACACACTTAAAACTGCATTATTCCCGAGATTATTCCTTATTTTAGTCATTTTTAATGCTTTATTGGTAGGTACCTATTTAAATAAAATCGTAGCCTTACATTAATAAAAGATACATCTGCTTTTTAATATCATTTATTAGATTCACATTTAATTTCAATGATCAGATAGAACATTAAACACTTACAAACATGGGCGCCGTTCAAAAAAATTTCCAAGAGGGACAAGTCCTATTGGCAGGGTCAAAACGCCGCAGACTACAGTGGAAAGCCATGGCAAAAAAAATAAAAATCAAAATAATAATAATCAGTCCTTCAAAATTTAGTTAAGGTGGATGCTTTTATCTAAAAAGCACTGTTTAATTCGTTAAATAAAATAAAAATCACCGGCGGGATTCGAACCTCAAAGAGATCCTTCGATCTCAAAGTCATGATTCTAACCACTGAGCCAACCCACGCCTAGTTTATATGTTATTTATTATTTTGTTAAAATGATGAATACACGTGTGATCGTTTAAATAAAACTATCTAGACGTGTGTTTTTAACGATTTTTGGTTCATATTTTGGTCGTGGCAGCAAAAAATGTTTCGTGGTCTGTCATCACCTATATGCTAAGGCACGAGCCACCACTGTTTAACGCCAATACAAGATTAATACTAGAAGAATCTAGAAATATGGCAAAAGAAAGTGTAGCAGTTCAAAATGCTGTCAGCACTGCAAAACTACGACCCAGTACACAAAAAATTCAACTTTGTAAAGTTTATTTAAATCAACTCATTTTGGCTTAAACAATATTGTGGTATGTTTTAAAAGACATTCTATATATTATTTAATCATTTTTTTCAATTTTGATACATAGTGAAGAAATTACATCAACTCAAAAAATATTAGTTAGGTAAGTCCTACCTCTTTGAATTTTTATCACAAAATGTTAATTTAGAGAAACTAGTAGGTGCCTACATTTGAACTGAAAAAGGAAAATGATTTTCCAGTTTTAACAGAAAATATATTTGGTACTTGATTCAATCATTATATTTTTCACTTCAAATTTCTACACATCTTTGTCATTGTGAAAACATATGGCAGTTTGAATTTACTTTCTCTTTTTTATATATTAGGTAGATATTATTTGTAAAACTAATAAGTAATATTAATCCATATTTGTTCATATTAAATTAAATGTATTGTAAGTATTATTATAATAATTATGATTATATCTTAAAAATCAAGTTAATAAATCCGTTGAAATATCTCGATTTACATGTCCTTGTTCTTAGATAATAATAGAAACCGTTCAAACTTCCTGTCACCAGCTCCAAAAATAACGTGTACAATCACCGTCGTCACCGTAGCGAAATGCCGTCAAATTTAAACATAACCTCAATAAACATACCTTAATTAAATAATAAATTCACAACTAGACAAACCCACCACTGTTATAACCCGTGTTTGTCTTCGTAAAGATAAGTCATTTCCAATAAAACGAAACAGAACATGGTGAAAGAAAATTAGCACAGCACTTCACTGCATAAGGTACTTTCGCGTGAAAAGGGTTCCGCGGCAGGTACCCTCTTATATATTATGCGTCCGATACGTGAGCCGGAGCGATCGACAGTGCGAATTAAATCGTCTCGCCTCGCGAAATATATTTTTGCTTCGCGGTATCGCCGTTGGTACCCAGAAATGATGATTTATACTATACGGTATTATAGATGTATGTAACCGGAGGCACGGGGACCACCTCTCTGATTCATAATTTCAACTTAAACGACGCGACGCGTTCGTCGATAGATTGGCGTCTCATGGACACAATACATCCATAAATCTATAGGTGTTAAGTATGAAAATACAGGAGTACAGTACTGACCGCTAAACCTTTTGTAGATGAATATGCAATTAAATTAATCATGTAGGTACACTTTAAAAATTATTGGACGTAATACCATTGAACACCAATTGAGGGGTCTAATGTCACATTTGAAATCAAGAAAAACATTTTATTTGATGTAAAATTTTTAGATACTGAAAATTTTCGTATTTTATTGTCTATTCAAATTATCCTGCTACATTATTTTTTGAAAATATCAATCCGTAAATCAATAAAATAAACGAGCTATGAGGGCAAGAACAATAGGCTTGACTGGTTTATGCAAAGTTTTTGATTTTTTATGGGGCAAGAGAAAAACAAATTAAATTTTTATTTTCAAAATATAACTTTTGGTTTATTTACTGAATGAAATGAACAAATAGATGAGTAAACTTTTGATGCAAACTTAAAATATTTTCATTTAATCATCATCATTGAATTCTGATGCGGAAGTTTCTTTATCATCTAGCGAAAAACTCTGATGATGACCTCTGACTTCTTCATAGAACCACATAATTTTTCATCAGAATCATGACGTGTTTAAATTTATTTTTTTTAAGTTTTGTCTTTCACTATACATTTCATTTGTAGGGTTTTGTTAGGTCAGGGGCTGCACATTCCTCTTATCTCGGATTTCAAAAGAGACTTATTTCACTGCATTTAAATCGTATTTCAGTATCTAGTTTTTTATAAGGCATGATTCGATATTTTGAAATCGTAAATTTATTGTTCTTCCTTGAAGGATTATTTTCAAGAACCTGTTGCAAATGGGCCTTAAAATTTAAAAATATATCCTGCGTTACATGGATAACTTTAAAGTGCTTGTTTGTATTTTCAATAATATTCGAGTACTCTTGAGGCAAATATATTTTGTCATGCTTTTCTGTATTTCTATAGCTCCAAAGCTCCTATCGCACGGAAGGAAACTATGTCCAGGTTTAGGGTACCTGTGCTGTATTAGCCTGAATCTTCCAGTAGTTGCCAACATAGTATAAAGAAACTGTACTAAAACAAAATTTTTGTTCTGCGACGAACAGTTAGAAAACATGTATATATCAGTTACTTCTTCTTTAAGAAAATGGTGTAGCACACTGGCTACGTCATTTTGTCCTTTAGCAGCCAATGTTTTATCTTACACATAAAAAAAATCCTAGTACTTCCTACATAGTTAGATTTTGTAGAACACTTCTCCACTGGAGGATACAGGAAGGGGCAAATTTTGTTGAAAATAAAATATCGGCACTTCTACACTTGGGTCGTTTTGTGCTAAAGCTGTTTTATCTTTAATGTCTGTATAGAAAGTTTCGCCTTTTTATAATGCAATTTTTTGGCCAAAAAATTGACTTGGCCGGTTTATGCATTATTATTTTATTTTGCATTCGTGCAATGAAAAAAATTCATTACTACTATGAATAGATAATAGTTATTAATTACCTTATTCATTCTCAAAATGTACCTTTATTCATTAGAAGCTGAAGTACCAGTCGTTTTTGAGAAAATATGATTCTACTTTCTCGTCCTTTTTTTTTAACAAAATCTTTTTCATTTTCCTCTTAAGTTGAGTGTCGGTATATAAATATCATTCATTTTTACCTCCAAAGGTTTAAATTCTTTTGCTATTTGTCTCTCCTCAATTTTTGTAGTCTTATCCAGGTTTTTTCATCTTTAACTAATTTTGGATCCTCTTCAACTTAAAAATAAATTTCTATTTCAAGCCTCTATTCAAAAATTATTTGCTTTTCATACCTTCTATATCTCCACCAGTTATATTTCTTTCAATTTTTTTCTTCACTTAATTGAACATTCTTGATTTCTTGTAGTGTTTCTTTATTCTCATCTGAAGCATGCCATACTAGCATATTCATTGCATTGCAGTTTTTGATCAAATTCACTTTCATTTAATAGTCGTTGGTTCAAAGCAGAATTAATAGACTTCTCTTTATCGTAGTGTTTTCAGTTACTGGATTTTCTCCATTTCGATCTACAATTTCTCCTCGTTCCAATATTCCTCTTGCTCGTACTTTATTATTCATTTCGTTTTTATTTTATCAGGGAATGATATAATCTTAGATTAAGGATGTAACCAATTTAAAGACAAGGAATTTTTTTATTTTTCAATCTTATTTACAAAAAGTTATCCTCTACCTACCTGAATAGTTAGGTATATAATTAACTTGAAGATATTTAAATTGCATGATTCATAGCTTTTTAGGTAACGAAACAGTTCGAAGAAATAGAAATCGTGTCTTGTCTTCTTTTGAATCAGAGATGCATACTTATTAATATAATCACTTCATGATTGACTGAGTAAGCATTACAACAGTATCTCATACTGTTATTAAGGAATTAAATTAATTATTAGAACCGAATGGGATTTCTATAAAAAAAATAAAACAATCGGTTTTAAAGTTCCGGAAACTTATCGGTTATAGATCCGAAAACTAGGGTATTAACATCCTTGAAAGTATTTAAGTAAATACCAAAATTGCCCGTACGAAATAAGAAAATGATTTTTGAACTCCAAAAATGAAGACAAATTTAATAAACAATTAAAAAAATTCTATTGTCCTTATTCGTGTTATACGCACACTGCTTTAAGCGACTGAGCTATTAGGACGTAAGTCACCGACATCCTAGTTTGTCCCAATAACAAAAAACATAGCTACTGACAATTAGTTTGAACAGAATTGCACTAAGTTTTTAAAAAATAATATTTAGTTAGTATAAACATTTGGTGAATTTTACATACATTCTAGAATGTCAGATCAGTGGATTGATATGTGGTTTACATATTAGTCATTATGTAGTTTCTGCAGAAAATATTATAATGTACTCATAGTTAACTTTTCAACTTTGGCTTTCGCGTCCTTATTACACTGGTGTCTCCCAAAGAAGAACATGCAGCATTATACTCTTAAAAACAAAAAAAAAAAGGGAAAAGCGCGAAAATGTCTTGGACACTTCAAATTTTCTGGTTTTAAATAAATATAAAAATTCGATACTTTATTATTCTAAAAACTTTCTCATTAAAAAAAAAGACTACAAAAATAGTTCTGGCACTTTATTATAAATTGACGTTAGTTTAACATTTTAACCACATAAAAGTCTTGCTTGTTCTCTGGTCATAAAGATATATGGAAAAGAAACCCATTCACATTGATTACAATTGTATACAAAAAAATTCATCGGTTGATCATAATTTGAGTCAACATTATTTTGGTCAGTACCAATGATTCTACCAGTGCATTTCTTACCATTAGCATCTGTGTAGGTGATTTCACAATTCATTAAACACCATAGGTTTCCTAAAATTAAAAATTCTTATTAAAAGAGACTGAAGATTATTTTATATTGGAATTACTCGGAGAACCTCACCCATCTATCGACACGATAGCGAACTAGGGTCTTAATCTGGATGTGATATCAACAGAAATTATTAAGTTACTATCAACTCATTCAAATTAGCATAGTCTTTGAAAATAAATAACATGGACTGATAATAATACGATTTACCTATAATACAATTTGAAGGTACTTCAGCCTCTCCTTTAAAATGAAAAAAATATACTGTATATCCATCTTTTATTACTGTAGCTGGTCTAATGATAATACAAGCGTAGAAAATTCCATTATACAAGGCCAAAATAAAGTTCGAAGTAACTCGTCTGAAATATATAGTGTATGTCTAAATGTTTGTTAAAGTGCATTTAATTCTAATACACATGTTGTGTTCGGAATGTGGTCTCCTTCTATTCTTTTCACTTCATATCTAACTTCACATGACTGAATTACAATTATTTAGATAGAACTGAAGTTAGTTGTGGAGTGAAAAGAGTAAAATGAATCCACCTTCAGAACTAAACATTAGTAGTCCTCTCAAAACTGTTGTGTCACGATGATCCGACATCGTTTAAAGACACGGTGTCCTAACCTAACTTTTGGCGGTGTCGTGGCACCGACTCGTTAGAGAACACATCGTATAAATTGTATTTATTTTGTACTTTTCACTACTTTTTTGTTAACTAAAGAAGTTTAAATGAATAGTTACTTTATCAGTGTTATCCATTTACATTACACAACAAAAAGTACCCATAGAGAATTTATAATTTAATTCAAAATTCAAATTTTGGTTGTGCATGTAGCTTAAATAGAAATTGAACATTTAAAAAAATACGATATATATTACAAGCTATAATAATTATGATTGTTCATATTCAATACATCATTTTAAATTTAAACGTATGGAGGCATTAAAACCATCCTTATAATGTAAGGGTAATGGGAATTAAGATTAAATTAAATAAACATATTTATTGGGCATTATTCAGTAAAAATTATTCTTACGTGATATATGTAGGTATATGACTGGAGGTCTCATGGTCATGAAGATCGACACGACTTTGTTCAGCTCCCATTTCTTAAAGTATTTTTTTTAATGGGTATTATGTATGACGCAATGTTTATTGAAATACACTTGTAATTTTGTATATACAGTACATTGTTCTTGGATATTTTTAATCTGGATAAATGAAGGTGAATAGATTACAAAAATGAAACCATGTTCTGTTAAGTTTTTCAACAACTAAGTTTTTTTTGACATTGAAAAAATCTAACGTTTTAAGCCATTTTCATTTGTTGTCAAAATGGTATGGTCTATACAAACGGTCACAACCAGTCATATAGCGACGGGTATATTAAAACTATGATACTAGGACGAACAAATAAGCTCACTTGGGTTACGAATTTTGAATAGAGTCGCGCATGACGTCATCGCGTAACAAAAGTGTTATTTAGCTTTGTTCGCGGTAAGAATCCTGTACCGAATTATTACTAACAGTAACGATTTCGCAAGCGCAGTAGTTAAAAAGCGTTCGCGGAACAAAAATAATTGAACTATTGGTTCTATCCTGCGTTCGCGGTAAAATAGTTATTGGTTTTGAACCGCTTGTCTATACCTGAAACACCCAGATATAATAGAGATTGCGCGCGCGGTAAAATGTTAGCTCATTCGGACCAGTTGAAAGTTCCAAAATAACATCCACTCCAGGAATACAAATTCAGAATACGCAGAAGACTGCTGTTTTATTATAGGCGGTTGTCATATATTGTATTATCCGAGTTGCGCAGTATATAAACTGGAACATTGAGATCAAAAGTGCCGACGCAGAGTGAGCGATCTGATTCTTTAGCAATAAACTGTGGCATAGGAATCAAAATGGCCGCGCCCTATGTTGGGCGTGTCGGATCTCTCTCTCTTGTACCGTATAGTAATCAAAGTATGTGGTGCATCAACACAATTGAGTCGATTGATTTGTTGACAACCATCCAAGAATTAAGTTGAATTTAAGAATATGATGTATGACTCATCTAAATATTTTTAATGGATAACAGTTTTGATGAATGTTGGGTGGCATCGTTGAATTTTATAAAACGTCTATTGTAACTATAAATGCGATATTCTTTTGTCGGAGGGTTTAATGTCGACATATCAATAGCAACCGCTAGATACCTTCTTGCAACCATGTAGAGTCTCCGCTAATTATTTTATTGAATTGTCAAACTTTAGGTGAAGTCTACCTCAATTTATGTTTTATCAGTTTGATCTTCAGTTCTGAAGATTAAAGAAACCATATATATTTTTTTTGTTTATCTCAAGCAGTCAAACAATGCAAGTTCTCTATTAAGGCGAAAGTTTCCTCGCCAAATGCAAAGGAAAATATAATCTGCGCACTTTATAAATAAAAAGTAGTTTTATCTATAGACAAGTATATTTTTTAAGACCAATACACGGTACATTTACATTAATAGTAAGTCATTTACATTACTTTGCATTAACTAGTAAAATTTAAAAAAAAAAAAACAAATATGCTGTTACAGTTTGAAAATGTTAGGGTGATTGTAATGTTTTGTTTCACTTTAAACCAAAAATTTAATAATCTTATCAAAACGGATTGTATTTACATTCCAAAAAAAAAAATTATCCGCATAACATCCTGGCCTGCTGTGTAGACAAAAATATGTAAGGGAATGAAATTGTTCTGCAAGCGTCGTTACAGTAAATAAAAAAATTCATTGGTTGTTCGCGATCTGTATCTGTAGATTTGAAATCCGTTCCAACGATTCGTCCGGTTGCGATGTTCCCATTTATATCAGTAAACGAAACTTCGCAATTTATCAAATACCACAGATTACCAATGATTACGTTCGATGGTATTTCTCGCTCTTCTTTTAAGTAAAAAAAGTAGACCACATAGCCATCCGTAGTCGGTCTCATAATCATGCACGGATAGAAGTATCCATCGGAGAGTGCCAAAATGAACTTTGAAATAACTCTCCTGAAACGAAAAACAATTTTTAATACAAAATTCTGGAAATTTCAAAGTCGGAAGCAAGAAAATGTTCGTAGAATACGTCCCAATATACATACTAAAAGTTCCCTAACATTAACCTTTCGCCTGCAGCCACTGTCTTGCAAAAATACATTTTTTTAAATTTTTTGATTATATTAAGTTGTATAACGAATTATAGACCAAAAAAATATATTTTTTAATGTGTAAGGTATGATCTAACATTGATTAGAAACGAATCGTTGTTAAAACAGACCGTATACCAGCCATTATGCTCTATTGATTCAAGACTCCCGCTAATTTATTCACATTTTTTTATTGTTTAAGGTAGCAAAGTGCAGATTCGTGTTCAACCACCTCAAAAACGGTCAGTGTGAAATTTTGGTCAGGCCAATATTTGAACTATTGGGAAAGCGATGATCATAGACGAAAGCTACAAGCAATCATCCCGAACCACGGTAGACAGTGCTAATATGCGATAAGTTAACTTTGCTTTCCTCATTCCAGTATAACGGTATATTATATAAAAACACAATTGTAATGTGCTTGCAAATCGACACTCGACAGTTTGTTTTTGCATAGTTTTTAATATTACTACAACTTATATCAAGTGCTTTCTTTGAGGCTTTAACCGCACCACTGGCACCATTGTAGTTACGCCACTGTTTTTTTTATCAATTAATACAAAAATATTATTTTTTTTAAATATCACCAAATTATTGTCTAAGTTTCTCCGTTCTAGAGCCCAAATGTTAATATACAATGACATTGGTATTTTAAAACATCAGTAGATTATAAGCATTTCAGCATCTCTATATAATTTTTGTGATGATTTTCTTTATTAATAATAGCAATTAATTGAATTCAACTCCAATTTAAAATTTTCTACTATTTGGTAAAATGATTAATAAGGTGTTATTGCTTACGAAACATCTCCGGGAATTTGAACATCTTTGTAAATATTGCCGTTTAATACAGAATCATCTTTACGTTTCTGAAGACTTTGACGACTTCCCATATTTCCGTTATATAATTAAATGCTTCCTAATTCATCTTAAAATGTTCCACAATTAATTTTTGTCAATAATTTGAAATCAGTATGACCGAAATTTTGACATGACTTTAAATGACATTTGTGAGACCGTAATATAAATCTAAGGTAGCGATGGTATATAATGATCAGCTTGGTAGTGATCGAAATTATTAATCGACTTCAAAAAGGGAGGAAGTTCTCAATTCGTCGGAATATTTTTTTTTATATGTTTAGCGATAATTCTTTACCACCTTGTCCGATTTCTATGATTCTTTTTTTGTTAATAATGGTCCCATATAAATTTGGTTAAGATGTGGTGATAGCATCTGCACGATTTTGAAGTCGGTTTTTTAAAATTACTTTTAATACTTGTTTAGAAATCAGGTAAATCCAGTAATCAGAAAGAACACTAAGTATAAGTTCTTCTTTCTTTACTTACAACCATTATGAGTTAATATTTTTTATTTGTCAATGCTTAGTGCTTCAAGAATTCAAGTAATATTTGCTATTTTTATACTTTGTAAATAAATGGATTTTACTATCGTTCACAGTTCACAATATATCGATGGCTAAGAGTAAAATTGATTTGAAAGTTATAGATTGCCATCATGAGCTGTATAGTTTATATTAGTATTACCTTACTAGCTGGTAAATCATTTCAAGTGGACTAAATTTGGAAACGATAAAGATTTCACCTCGAACGACAAAGAATCATACCTACCTATCCCATTTTTCGACAAAAATTGATATGCAATATTTGTCCTCTTAGCTATCGATATATTGCATTAAATATAAAAAATGAAAGCGTTCTTTTTAAATTAATATAATTCTATATAACTTCTTCTCCGGCAGCCAATTATATAAAAGTTCGTTTTACTCTGCAATCTGGTTTAGTCTTAAACATCCTACCCCGTGTAAAACTTACATCTCCTACAGCTTAATAAATCAACTTAGTTCATTTTTTTTTACCTGTCGTTCTGTACAGTTTCTACGAATGGGTACTGTGTTTAATTTACGCTACTCCTAATAAACTTTCTCTGATTGGACATTATTAGCTGATGTTAACGCTAAAAAGTGATGTGTGAAACTGACTGCAATCTGACCGAAGTCTACAGGATTGCCAACTTAAATTAAAATCGCTCCTCCTAGTTTAAAAACAGTATAGTATTGCTGTTCATGATAAAACAACCAAAAAATACAATTGTTAATTAAATATACGACCTTTTAGTATTTTGCTAAACTGTATGGTGTTCAAAAATTCATACAGTGTAGGTCTAAAGTCCCTATCCCCCATTTATTTTTTGAACCGTAATTAAATGAGATATAACCCCATAAAAACTTTGATTTTAAACGAAAATAGGTTAAAAATTTGTAGTATCCCAGTTGATAGCATTGGAAAGAATTTGAAACAAGCTTTCAAATGATGTATCACTTGCCATATCATACTATTTAAAATTATCTTCCAAAACGGCTCCCGTCCGCCATTTTTAATGATTACGTCACCTAATATCATTAAAAAAAATAGTATAGTTTCCTTAGTTTAGTTTCCGAAAATTTAGAATTTCTAACTTTTATATGGGAAATAAGGGACTTTACACCCACACTGTATAATTCAAAAATTAATTAATTTATTTCTTCTTTATGTTCATACCTAGTATGATATTTTGTCCCAAAATTTATAGAATGAAAACAAGTAGTAGGCAACACTTTTTACAGGAAGTATTGAGAATAGAATAACTATATTTCAGTACCTCTATCATAAATATTTTATGCAGTTTAAAAAATTTTGATAGGCTATAACCACTGTTATAACTAAAAATAAATAGCCACAGCGGATTTCCAAATTTTTAAGATTTTAAGCTATTTATCGACGTTTAGTTACAGTGTTAATCATTAATAAAGTCTGCATCAAACAACGCAATAACTAATGAAGATCATTTTATTGATAATAAATTTAAAGTATTTAATTGTTTTTATTTTGCATATATATTATAAAAAAATGTTTCGAGTAAGATGTGTGTATTTATTTCTTTCTCTAATCATTTACATGGCTGTAAAAAGTAGATAGGAAAGTCATGTGTTGTGTGTTGGACACATCAGATTTTTAAGACTTTTAAAATATCTATTCTTGAATCTGAACAGTGAACAGTTTGAGGGAAAAGAGAAAAATAAGTTAATACAAATTATGTACATTCTATTCCTCATTTAAAATCAAGAACCTACACTGGTCGGTTACCACTTCTCATATGCCTCTATAATAATATCTAATATAATATGATCACTTGCTATCGTCATGTCTTAATACAAAGTATTTATTACCTATTTACCTATATTACGCCGTAACCTTTAATATTTTGTGGTTATTTGTGCTTATGAATGCACTTCACGGGAATTACTTTATTGACTATCTATAATTTATTTATTTAATACATTTTACAATTTTCAAGGTTAGTCATAACTTGATTTAATAAAAAAATCGTAGATGACACGGTAATTTGTGGTGATAGTTAGTATCTATTATTAGACGCCCCAAGATATTTTGCTTTTTTTATATGAAACACCCCCTGCAATGCCTAATTAGAACACATGAATTAAAATCAAACACAAACTGAGACTGACATATTAGGTGGCTTTTTCCAGATAAGTAAGTATGTACCTGTACCTTTTGTAAATTAGGCAGTGTTTAAATTATCTGGCATATAGGGAGAGGTGGGTATGATTAGACTCTGTTATATCTGGTTAGAGCCTTGTACTGTGGGCGATGGGCCCAATATTCGAATTCTACTAAAAGGCATTTTTTTTTAATTTAATATAATTAAAAATACATTGTATGCCTAGGTTTGATTAACTGTTGAGTTCTAATTAACAATGCTGTTCTGAATGACCTATAGTTGGAAATAGCACCAATAAAAATAATAATATTGTCCTATATAGTCAGTCCTTTAGGAAATTTTTTATAATTGTGACTTTTTTAAAAAGACAAAAATTGATTTAGACAACTGTGAAATGAACATCCGGTTTTATTAGAATTCCGTCAAGTTTTCTTCATATTATGGTGAAGGTATAAAAATTATTTAAGAATTTTTCCCAAAATACAACGAAATTTTATTTTTGTTTGGAACAATTCCAAAATCATCGTTGTTTACAAACTATATACATGTACTTTCATATATTACTTATTATGCATATATTTGTATATCTACTAGCAATGATATTAATATCATCATATTAATCATTGTTACATAATTATTATTATTATATTCACAAGGTTGAGTTATGAAGGATCCCGTTAGACCAGTTTTTGAATAATTATCCGCTGTTTTAGCTTCTCTTTTATTGTTTATTTTCTTCTCAAGTTTATTATGTTTATAGGGTGTTTCATTGAATGGAACCTACCAAGGTACTTCCAAATAATTCATATTTAATGTGTCTTTCGTCCTTTATATAATCATGATATATGTAGCTTTTAAAAATGTAGCACTCATTCATAACGCAAACTAGGAAGAAGTGGTTTGCATAGTTGAATTTCTTTTTAAAAGCTCTACAAACTGGTTGACCCGGGTCCAGAACTGACCCGGGTTCAGAACTGATCCGGGTTCAGAACTGACCCGGTTCTGGAACTGATCCGGGTCCAGAACAGATCCGGATCCAGAACTGACCCGGATCTAGAACTGACCCGAAACCAAAACTTATCCAGAACCAGAACTGATCCGGGTCCAGAACTGATCCGGGTACGGAACTGACCTAGGTCCAGAACTGATCCGGAAATGACCCGGGTCCAGAACTGATCCAGGTCCGGAACTGATCCAGGTCAGAACTCATCCGGGTCAGAACTCATCCGGGTCAGAACTGATCCGGGTCAGAACTCATCCGGATCAGAACTCATCTGGGTCAGAACTCCTCCAGGTCAGAACTCATCCGGGTCAGAACTCAGCCGGGTCAGAACTGATCCGGGTCAGAACTGATCCGGGTCAGAACTGATCCGGGTCCAGAACTCATCCGGATCCAGAACTGACCCAGAACTGATCTAGAACTGATCCGGAATCAGAACTGAATTGGAACATTCGTTAGATATGGTCATCTTGTCTATTATAAGATAGTCTAAGTCTACAACAATTTAAATTTAACCATTTTTTCGGTTTTGTTTTAGCGTTCAGCACACTAATCGTTCTAACATCGTTACTCACTAAAGATATAATAAGTTAATGAGGTAATAAAACAAAATCCCTCATCACATACTTTTTTATTATTATTCTGATTCAAAACGCCGTCCGTACACCAGCGAGAAGATTCCTCAACGTGCCCGCAGTCTTTCATGTGGCGATAACACCTTGAACTTGAACACCACAGCATTATTAAAAATCTGGAGGATTCGCATGCCAAATGTCAAAAACATTTACAGAGCAGTTAGTAAAATAGGCAAATTTTATAAAACACCCAATTATAAAGGACGAAATACCGATAAGTATGGGCTATTTAAAAGCATCTCGGTGGCCTCAATCCATATAAGAAAAATATATCTATTTTTCCAATTATTACATAGTATTTCATTATAATTGGTTCAAAAAAATTAATTTCAACTCTTTATTTTATTTTTAAAATTAATCTAAGACGAAGAAGAAATTAATGCATAACAGTATTACATAAAACAAAGTAGGTACCTATCATGGTGCCAAGCCACACCCGCAAGCGTGAGATGAAAGCAGTAGGGGCAAGATGTGTACCGTTCTGATTTTTATTAGAAGATGTCGATCGTTCACTCAAGAAATATTTATTACAATGATTTTTTGAGCCAGTAATTACATGTAAACAAATCCTCAAGAAGTTTACCCAAAGTTAGGGAAAGATATAAAAACGAATGATATAAAACTCCCTAACAAGAGAATCAAAGGCTACAAAGGCAGAGAGAAAAACTGAGGTAAAACAAGAATTAAAGAAAAATAAAAAGAAGTTTAATATTTATTTCTATTTACATTTTCTAGACGTTATCCTTTTTTTTTAAGTCTGTGTGGCAAATTGTGTTACCAAAGTAATGTCACCAATTTTACTATTTCCAGCTTTATATCTGGACAAGTCCAAAGTGGGAAATATGATTTAGGAAAATCACGA